GCCCCCCCTGCCTCTGCCTCCCGAGTGCTGGGATTAAAGGCGTGCGCCACCACCACCCAGCTGCAAATCATTTCTTAGCCTCCAGAATTCCCGATTTGGACAGATGGACAGAGTTCTTCAAATTAAGTCTGTAGAAAATCCAGAAGTATTGGAGCCAGGTGTTGCTGGTGCACGCCTTTAATCCCAGCACTTAGGAGGCCGAGGCAGGCGGATCTCTGTGAGTTTGAGGCCAGCTTGGTCTACAAGAGCTAGTTCCAGGACAGTCTCCAAAGCCACAGAGAAACCCTATCTCAAAAAAGAAAAAAAAAAAAAAAAAAAAAAGCAGAACTACTGGAACATAATTGGTTTTACAAATCAGATAGATTGTGACCTGGGAGTTGTAACAGGAAGCAAACCTTTTCCTTCCCCAAGTTGATCTTGGTCATGGTGTTTGTCATGGCAACAGCAAGTAAAGTAGAATACCACCACACACTTAGCTTAGGAAACAGGACCTGGAGAAACTGAGCTAAAACTTACCTGGATAAACCCTAAGGTATCCAAGCGGTTTTCTTATTTCTGCCCTCTTGAAGTTCATTGAGGTGTTTGCCTGTGACCTCTTTGGATGTGTCAAATCCTTCAATTGTTTATAATTATTCTTTTAAATTCTGTGTGCCGACTTTAGTCTTGGCAATTCCTTTTGGGACAACATATCTTATAGAACTGTTTGTCTTTTTTTTTTTTTTTTTTTTTTTTTTTTTGTTTTTTTGAGAGGGGTTTTCCCGCCCAGCCTGGGCTGGCCTTGAACTCCCTATGGAGAGAGATCCGCCTGCCTCTGCCTCCCGAGTGCTGGGATTAAAGGCGTGCACCACCAACGCCCGGCTCTAGAACTGTTTGTCTTTAAGAGGCATTTGTTGTCTTGGTCTTCCATACTGTTTGTTTTCTAACAGGATTGAACATGGGAGTTCCTTCCTTACTTTATTTATTTATTTATTATGTATACAATGTTCTGCCTGCATGTACGCCAGAAGAGGGTACCGGATTTCATTATAGATGGTTGTGAGCCACCATGTGGGTGCTGGGAATTGAACTCAGGAACTCTGGAAGAGCAGCCAGTGCTCTTAACCACTGAGCCCTGGGAGTTTATTTCTTTGATGGATATGAGATTCTAAACTTCATATGTGGAGTAGAAGTTTGATTCTGATTTTGCTCTTGCCTGAGCTTGGTTGATTTCAAGACAAGTTTAGAGTGAGCAGGTTAGTTAGTCCTTGAGATATCCAGTGTTGATTGTTGCCTGGAGACTGGGGTAACTCCAGTTCACTGTTAACCAGTGTGATGCAGGGGTCTAAGGGTAGGGTAAGATTGTTTTGTGTGAAGTCCAGGAAAGTCCTGTCATGACTCCTGGCTGGGCCTGGGCCTGGAGGGCAGAACAGGTTCAGGGACTTGGTCAGCTTCAGCAAGAGAATCACACAGTGGATCTGGGCTCCAATAGCGGCCCCACCTGGACCTGGGGGAGTGGTTGTGGTAAAGGCCCTGGGGCAGACTCACTAAGGGAAAGGACAGATTTGGCTCTTAGCTGTGCCAGAGTCTGGAGGGTGGGGACTCTAAGAGGAGGCAACTGGGGGTGAGAGGACTCACCTAAGAGACCTTGCAGAGATGGGGCTACTGCCTGGGTCTGGTGGCTGCTTAGAGATAGGTGCTGTGTGAGAGTCCCAGGCAATGGCGCCCATGGATGTATCTCCTGCCTAGGTCTGGGCCTGAAGGGTTGGGGTAGGATGGTAGCCGCACTTTAATGTTTATAAGCACCTCAAAGTCTGTGATGAGAAAAAGAATCTTTTTTTCTGTGCTTACTGATTTGTGCTGTGTTTGTCCTCAGGTGACACTGCTTAGAGGAAGCACAGGGACCTCTGGCCATACTTGTCAGTAGCCAGAAGGTTAGCCATGGAGCAGCCATTTGTGCTGTGTGATGAAGAGCAGGAACCCAGTCAAGCCCCCGACGAAGACGCTGAGCTGATCTTTGTAGGGGTTGAGCATGTAAATGATGACTCTGAACTGATATTCGTTGGCATGAGTTCAAATTCAAAACCTGCTAACTCGAACATTTTGAACAGAGTCACCCCAGGTTCACGGTTGAAAAGAAAGCGGAATCGCCTTAGAACAGCTACCACTCAAAGACCGCAGCCCTCGCAGCCCTCGGGTCCTGCGACCCCCAGCTCAGACACAGTGATTGTCTTGCCAGCCTCTCCAGCTGAGTCAAGGTCAACAGATAGTCCCATTATTATTGAGCCTTTGTCTGAACCTGACTATAGAAGTAATTCACCACAAGTTGTGCCTGATAGCTCTCCAGAGGGCTCCCCTTTGGTTACAGTCTCAAGTTCGCAGCACAGTCCCCCGGTAAGGGCAGCACTTTCAGTAGGAGATTTGAACGAGAGTTCTTATGTATCGAAGTGCCATTCTACTTCTGGAGCAAATGCCGTGAACCCACAGAGGCCTGACCTTATTATTGAAATAGTGGAAGAACCTTCTCCAGCGTCGGCCCCTTCAGGCACTTCCCAGACCTCGAATCCTCAACCGAGCACACCCGCCAGTCACGTTCCCCAGTCCTTAAACCCTGTGGTGAATGGCGAGCACTCTGTCCACAACAGTCCTACCAATGTACACCCTGGCCAGGAAAATGGATTGGCACCAGGGGGCTTTTCAAGTCTAGCAAGTCAAGAGACCCCTGATCCCAAGAAAGGAAGCTTGACGTTGTTGCTCAGCGACTTGTATTACGGACAGCATAAAGGAGATGGGCAGCCAGAGCAGAAGACTCACACGATCTTCAAGTGCCCCAGCTGTTTGAAAGCGCTAAAAAACGTCAAGTTTATGAACCACACCAAACATCACGTGGAACTTGAGAGGCAGGGGAACGACGGCTGGGAGAGCCACACCACCTGCCTACATTGCTACCGGCAGTTCACCTCCCCCTTCCAGCTGGAGTGCC